TCTCCCCGCGACGAGGAGAAAGTGTCTCGATTCTCCGACGGCGATGGCATTGCGTGATGTAATTACGTCACTGATCGTAAACGACAATTTGATGCCGCGTAACCGACATACATTAGACCTATCAACTCCGATTCTCTTTCTCCACTGTCACGGCTTGATACTCTCCGTAAGAAATTAAAGAGAGAGAGACGTAACGAGATATTTTTAACTTTCATAAATTTATCGCGCGATAAGGATCGCTACTTGTCGATTCTATTCCGACTCGTAAACTGTGCTTATATAAACGTTGGGTCCGCTCTTTTTAGCCGAACTCCCTGCACGATTCATCTCTCTTTTTCTTCCAAGAAAAAAAAAGAGGAAAGAAGAACCGTGCAAGAAGTTCTACTAAAAAGAACAGATCCACTCTTGTACGTGTATGAATTCTTATCCGAATTTACGCGCCGCGAAATTTGTACTCGAAACAAAAGCGCGTCGGCCACTGCGCACGCGTATAATGTATCGGGTGGCAGCGTGTTGGGTCTTCGTGTGCCGTTGGCTTAAATCAAAACGCTTAAAAGAATTCGTCGACGACGTGCAATTGTACAATTCATCAATTTGCATAAATTTTTTAAATATATTTACTGACTGTAAAACAGAATGTTTCTAGGCGCAGAGAGCACATTGTAGATTGAGTTTTAAGCTGGACTCGCGTCCGGCAAGTCATCGAGTTACGTGGCTTTCGCCGCGCGTTACATTTAGGCAACGACTTTCTTCAGGCACGGACGACTTCCTAAAAGTTCCTCGTTCCTCCCTGAAGCCGCGGTGTCGTTGTTTCGTTAACGGTATGACGCAATGACGAATAACAGACGCGCGCGCGCGCCCACGGCGCGGCTAATGGACTGTGCATACAGCACAAAAACTGAGTGCGGTGCACACGCACACGCACTTTCGATCGTTTTCCCCGGGTCGTTCGTACATACATACGCAGTCCGCTCAGCCCTTCGCTCAGTAAAGTAAATTTCGGCCCCGCGCATACCGAGAAGCGGCGGCGTTTCTTCTCTTCGACGAAAGCGGGAGTACACAAGGATGACCTGAATTGCGATCTAGGGATTCTTTTTCGGCGCGAATACTTGTAAATTGCGCTTCCGATCATCTACAATTTATACGGGGGAGAAAGAGAGAGAGAGAGAGAGGGAGGAGGTGTCCCCTGAATTTTCGTTTCGTTACAAATTTCTCGATCGACTTAAAATTTATGAATCCGATGGCGAGATCTCTCACAAGTTTTTTTTTGGATCTGTTATGAAAGAATAATGAGGTCTGAAGTAACAAATAGAAAGGCAGGAGGAATTTCTTGCGTTGCCATTTATTTATAACGAGTTCTAAACATTTTGGCAAAATATTTCTCTATGCAACTATACATATAATATATACAGGGTGCCCCATTTTAACTTGGACAGTAAAATATCTCAAAAACTAAGCCCAGCAAACGAAAATGTTTCAGACAAAAGTTGTATGGTTTCGAACCATATCCAATCGAACCATATGGTTCGAAACCATACAGCTTTTGTCTGAAACATTTTCGTTTGCTGGGCTTAGTTTTTGAGATATTTTACTGTCCAAGTGTTAAAATGGGATTTTAACACTTCGTGTGTATTTGTTTTGTTCTCTCGTATCTCGTATATGTATATATTTTTCTCTGTTTATACATAAATAAAATAATAAGAATAATTAAAAAATAATTTAAAAAGCTACGTACATTGTTTCTATTACAAAAAGTAAAATTGCTATTAGAGGTTGTACAATATTTTATACGTAATCCTGTATAATCATTTTAATGGAGATGCGGAAATGAGGAGGAAAGAAGTAGATAGATACTGATTGACAAGGGAAGGAAGAAGGTGGTCAAATATGTGAGGAAACAGAAGGGCCGATGGAACAAATAAAGACATGTGTAAAGAGAGAGAGGGAGAAGGAGTGAGGTAACGAATAAAGGACGTGTTAGATTAAGAAGTACAAAAGGAAGTAGGGTAGAAGATAGTAACGGGAGGTGTGCAGAAGTTAGTAATTTTGTAAAGTTGGCTCTAGGCCGTAAAGTCGAGTCGTGCAATAAATATATTGCACAATAGTTTTTCCATAAAAATTTTTATTATTTTGCTTAAATTTTAGCAATAAATTTTGATCTGTTAAACTCTCGTACTCGCTGCCGCACACGTTTTTCACATGATGCGTGGCAAGCAAAGTCTTAAGTTGTCTGTTTCACATCTGTTCCTTATTCGTGCAGCAAAATGCAAGAAGTCAGATGGTTTGCGGATTCTTGTGACTCGTGGACGCCAAAGGATTAAGGAACCCACTCTCTCCTTGGATATCAGTCGACTGCATATAATGAGATGAATACCTGACTCGTGCTTATAGATTTATTTCGCAGCGCTCTTGCGCGTCCATCGACATATCGCCGTATTACCATACTAGTCTATTCTCTAAAACAAAAGAAAAACAACCGCCTCCTTGAGCCTATCGATCCCTACTTTTGACGAGGCAAATTCAATCTGCCATAAAGACGCCTGAACATCAGAAGTTAAATAATTAAATGAGTTATAAACTTAGAATTAAGTTACGTAATCAAATCAATTATAAAGTTAAAATCACAATTTAAATAGAGCAATAAAAAATTTTTTTTAGCAAATCAAATATAAAGTTAAAATCACAATTTAAATAGAGCAATAAATTTTGTTTTTAGCAAACCATCAAGGATCGTTGGTGGAGCAGGGTTGCATTTTTCATCCCCTATAGAGTATCGACACTGATCGGTTTCAAAGCTGCGAGCGTACAAGTTTCATTGTCGTTCGAGTCGTGCATTTCCATTTGCCAGTGGCCACTTCATTCACTGACAATCGCATTCTTTTTTTGCCGCTTCTAATCGCCAATCGCTATCGCGTCGCGCTGTGCGCCGTGCTAACTCGCCGTTTCCTTTGTCGTTTCTCCATCGATGTGTCGCGTGTTCTCCCACCAATCCGCGCGTTTCTCTGCTCGCGCGCATCATCATTTTGTCGCGAAACCGCTAAGTATCCGACGCGCGGCGAATTCGCATTCGTCGTAAAATGTCACGCGCAAAGACGAATGTGCGTGACAATAAATTCCTACCCGACCGAATGGATTATTCGTATCTGACGCGATATACCATCTCCTGTTTCGCCGATATCTCTCGCGACGAAAAAAATGCATCCTTTGCGAGCGACGCGTGACAACAATTCGCCAGTCGGCCGTCTCGCTTTCGAATGACTCTCGCAATGTTCCGTTTTGTCTCCAATGATCTACAACGTGTGCTCTCTTCATCTGGAAACATTCTATTTTGTAGCCAATTTCACGAACGTCGGTTAATTGTTAACCAGAGTTCAGAGCCAACTTCCTATCTTTTTCTCTAAGAAGAGACAGAGAATCAATTAATCTTCGGTTAGCAGTTGACGGACGTTTGTGAAACTGACCCACATTTAAAAAATGTGTGCATTCGTGTTGATTTTATTGTACAATATACATTGTACAATCGTGCATTGTCGGCCAATATTTTAAGGCGGACACTGAGAAGAAATTTTCGCCGCCGTAGCTAATCGTGGTTTGCTAAAAATATTTTGCTGCCATAACCAGAAATTTCTAAACCACAGCAAACGGTTTGCTGTCGCACCTAATACAAATAGGCACAGTGGCAAGATATGTGGCTATCACAATGAAATATTAGTTGTCCATATTTTACAACTGCAATTTAGCTGCAGTTTTTAAGCTACATTTTTCTTTCCGTGTACTGATTCGCTTGTACAAAACAGTGTTTCTAATTGTAAAAAATACATTGTGGATCAGATTAAAGACCATGTTCTGACACGAGAGGCACGTGTCGGCTCCGTTCGGTGACACGCGTGTGAGATGCACGAGGGCTCCCCGCGTAGCTCGATCGGTAATACAAAATTACAAAAATGAGGATATACGCGACTGTTTTCTATTAATTACACCGCAATCCGTGAGGGAATTTCTGAGCACTCTTCATTCGCGATCTCTTTTTCGCTTTACAAATCGATGCGAGTGGAATTTCAGCGATATCGAGACCACCGACGTGTTTATTACAATAATAATTGCCACTGACGTTTTCGCGGCATCTGTGCGTCTCGAAAGATTCATACAGAATCCAAAGAATTCACGGACGTTACTTCGCGTTACATACTTTCCCGTATTATTTCAACGCTATTATCAAGCGATAACGTATCGCATTTATCTCGCGTTGTACAATTTTTATACACGCAGTGTCCCGCGAAGATGTTGCGAATTGATTTCGGAGGAACGGACTCCTGTGCGGCTCCTGATCTTGTACATTTACATTGCGATGTACACGTTGTAACTTTATTAATTTAATTGTCAAATAACTTCGCTTAATTCAATAATTAATAATAGAATTAATATTACACCTTCATTTTTCTAATTACGTACTATTAAATATTTAATTATTAGATAGAATAATTATTACTATTTTTAATTATTTATTATATTATGTCAAATTTATAATTACATAATGTTATATTAAATTCTGTTCGCTGTATTTTTCGACACAATTCTATGTGGCGATCGAACGAAAAACCAACAATGTTTTGTTTGGTTTTGAACCAACCAATCTTCGGAATCCTCTGCGCCACGATCGCCACTAAATCCTTTTTACATATTAACCGACATTATTTCACAACTGCGTTGTTGTTGATTTGCAGCATCACTCGAAAAGGATCCAAGAATCGAAACGTTGTGTTATAAACTAATTGAATAACTAGCCAGTTGGGTTGACTATGGGTTTCCAGTCTCAATTTTTAATCATTACCGGTGACAATAAGCAACCTCTCCTTTCGTCAATTACTTGAATAATGTAGCGAACAGAACACATTTATACAAGAAGATGCAAGAGGAATATAACGAGACGCGAAAGTGTCTCGCGCCGATTATAAGCATAATAGTTATATTGAATTGCTTTCCGTTTTCTGCCCCCGCAGATTCGGCACTTTACTGGTCAACCAGAGGGCCATTCCAATAGTCATGCTGTGCAACAGGGAGAAGTGTCTTCGTCGAATCCTAATATACTGTCCATCGATCAAATTGGCCCCATCTTACTTCAGGTTCGTATTACCCATTCGAATTAACAGGCGGGAATTACACCCGTGATTGATCGTCGTCAAGTCGCGGGCGCGAAAGCCAACGAGAATTCACGCACTGAAAAAAATTTCTGGTTGAATATGGACGAACCAGATAATTCCTGTAGGATTTACCAGAATTCCTGTAGGATTTACCAGAATTCCTGTAGGATTTACCAGAATTCCTGTAGGATTTACCAGAATTTCTGTAGGATTACAGGAATTCTGGTAAATCCTACAGGAATTATCTGGTTCGTCCATATTCAACCAGAAATTTTTTTCAGTGCGCCTTTTGGCAACTCGTCCTTACGAGATTGTTACAACGTTGCGTCTCTCCTGTTTGCAGGCGGTAGACGGCTTTATGTTCATTGTAAATACGGAGGGCTGCGTGACGCACGTTTCGGAAAATATAACGCAGTACACGAAGTACACGAAGGACGATGTACTTGGAAAGGATATTTACAACATTATTCATCATGGAGATCACAACACCTTCATGTCCAGTGTGTTACCCTCTGTAGGTACGTATCTCAATCCTGTCGCGCGCACCCACACGCGCGACACACGGGGGTGACGATACTCGCGGGGTAGATCGTAGATAGGCGCAATCGAGCAGGTTACAAGTAATTTACCCGCTCGATTCATGAATGACCCTCTTCCTTGGGGTTTGCGATTCATTTTTCAATTTCTTGTTCGCGCTCGCCTCGGGGGGGGGGGGGGTGGCCTTTACAAACTCGAGGGGTGACATCTCTGATAGATTAGGGCGTTATCCTTTCATCGTGCTTCCTGTATTTTTCACATCCATATTTTCAATTACAATAATTGCGAGAAGTATTATTGCGGCGTGTGCTCTGGATCTCGAATTTATCTTTATTTTTTTGAACGAATTCCCACCTCAATTTTTCCCTGGGAAGAATTTGAGATAGAGGAGAGTCCTCTGTTATGAGAGATATACAATAATTCTAATATGAGATAGCAGGTGTTCAACGTCCAAGTTCAATCACAAATCTGTTTTTTTTCGCTACAATCGCACGATCTAACAATCAATTTTCCACTAAACAGATTTCACCCCGAGGGTAATAAACGGTGGAACCAACAAGGCGCCTATTAGTTTAGCAGAAACTCCGCTATCTCGTATTAGGGGCCCATCTCATAACAGGGGACTTTCCTCCATTATTAAAGTTTTAGCGTCTTTACTTCGCATAAATTTTGAATGATACGTGATCTGTTTGCGAACGAACAAATATTAGAATTCTTTAGTAATTACATATTTTTATAAACAGAAAAATTCGAAACTATTTGATCTAGTGAAAAACATGTTGCTTGAATAGACAAATTAACAGTAGGTTGACTTTTAAACCACGCTAATCCATCGGAATGTGACTAATTGTTTCGCATTTGAAAAGACACCTGAGTTGGCACGTTCCAGGCTGGACCAGCGATCCTCAGCCTCAGTCCAAGAATCGCGTCTTCAATTGCCGCTTCTTGGTGAAGCCGCCCGACGATAAGGACGAGACTGTGGAAGAGAAGCAACAGCGAGTCTCGAAGTATGAGTCTATGCAAATCTGTTCTCTTCTTCTGTCCGAACACGTAGAAAGCGGTGATGCATCCTCCGAATCATCAGACCCTGGTCTGTTGTGCATAGTGCGTAGGATATCGCCGAACGAGAAGCCCATCAATACTTTCATTGAGCAATTCACCGTCAAATTAGATACCACCTGGAAGATTATTGCGGTCGACATCAGTTGGTTAACTCCCCCTTACACCGAGTACCTAAAGAAGGTAAGGGTAGAGCCATGTCGCGTACTTCGATTACCGTATTGTTCGCTCATCCCGATACGCAAATTCGATAATAATTGGACTATTGTGTGAAATGGCCAGAGCGGGACGAACAACTGCTTCGAAGGATTCGAATAAGATGCGAATCTTTTTACAATTTGATTGTAGTACGCGGGGGGGGGGGGGAAGGAATCTTTTTTTTTAAAAGAAGAAACGTAAGATTGCATTGTGATCTCTATTTGTATTTATTATATTTTATACTGCAAGTAAAAAAGCATATTCTTTCTCTCTTTCGCTGAAATAATGAATTAATCACGGCCGTCTGCCTGCTGTTATTATTTATTTCAGCCTCCGAAAGATTAAAGATATGATTGATGATGATAATTTCACGATACCTTTTCAAAATGACTTCACAACGGCATTGTTGTCTTTTTGCGTAGTTACCCTTTCATGATCAATTTGTTTTTTATTGGTATGTTTTTGTACATGTAATGTTTTTTTTTTCAATAATAGAATGCACGCTAAGTCTTTCGAGTCTTTCGAGTCTAACTTTTAAACACGGCAATTTGGCCAACGAACGTTTTAAACAGTTACACGTGCGTCCGCCAGCACGTACTATAAGTGGGACACTAACAAGATTCAAGAGACAAGAAAATGTAAATGGGACTTACAGCGCCTCACTGGTCATGAAAAGGTTGCCTTTCGCATTGTTGCACATTCGGAAAATAATATTGGTTTCTGTTATATATAACATTATATACATATTATCGTTGAGAAAAGAAGGTACTTCTGAATTATTGACATCGAGTTATTTAATATTTGATACATATAAACTTTCAAAATTGAGAAACGTGTCGTATTTCTAGCGAAAGATTTATAATAATTTTACCATCAATATTTAAGCTTCTTGTATGTGCCTTCTTTTCTTTCCGTACCTCCAAATTGATTAAGAGAGGTGTTCACAGATACGTGTCTTTTTTTTTGCAGGATTTTTTGGTAGGCACAATATTTAAGGATCTGTGCCACCCTCATGATCTCAGTACGCTCATGAAGCATTTGAACGACACGATCCAAGCCGGAGAAAGTACGAGTGATGTGTACCGGCTACGCATTAGTCCTGATAAGTTCCTTAAGATTCAAACGAAGTCAAGGGTTTTCAAAGCAAACATGATGAATACGCACGAGAACGACTTCATAATGGCAACTAATTCCATCATTGGGGAGTAAGTTCGCCCTCAGTTTATACAATAATCATATCATGTAATTCACGGTCATTATTATCCTTTAACTGGTCACTGTAAATTCTAAATAATAGACTCTAGATGATAAGCGATTATGCATGAAGAGAACGTAGAAGTGGAGATAATCTCATTATGGCGTATTGTATTTCATGAAAATGATATTTGATATCTTAATGAAATATGATGTTCAGGTGAAGAAAATAATTCGCGGTATTTTCTTATCGAAGATAACTTATCTAAGAGTGATTGTAGTATTTCAGTTCGAGATGCAATTTCAATTCATTCACAATTTTCAAATCACTTACACTTGTGCTGTGTTGGATTTTTGTGTTTTATGTCAACTAGTTTGCTATCGCTTCGATAACTTTTTGTTAACATAATAAATGTCTGTAAGTACTTAATGTATCTTATCCTATTAGTGTTTATTCTAGCACAATAATGACATAAATTTGGTGTACAATGATTTGATGTATGAAATTGACGAGGTGATAAAAAGTCATTTGCAGAAAGAATTGTAATTGTTTAGTCATAATTATAATTATACAATTTATTTTAATTGTAGCTAAATTCTGATTTTTACATTTGATCTAGAACTTTTCTTTTAATATTTATCTTGTAAAGAAATTATATTCCCATAATGAGATTGTTTAAGTACCTTTAGTATAATAGTTAAATATAAAATAAATATATTTCAGCTGGTTATCTCAATTTCTAATATTTTAGGAATAATCTTAACGTTAGACTTTAGGAAAGATAGAGGTTGTAGTGCTCACATACAGCTCACATGCTCTTCCGTTCATTTGCACCCATTTATTAATTTCAAACCATTAAGCCGAGGAGTTATTTTATGTTTCATAGTATTATGATACATACTTGGTTTGCAATGAGTTTGCAAAGGGCACCACATTTGCATGTAAATTAATATACGGTTTCTTATTGGTGTTGGAGATCTGGCCACTCTTGAACTATTGTCTTTCACTGTAACCTAGTTGTATGTAAATTTCAGGTTTTGCTTTTAATGTCAACCCAGCAACGACGCCCGCTACATATTAACTTTGCTCATGTCTAACAATGTAATATTACACATGATTTATTTATGTAATTTATTTTTGGCGACATTTAACGAAGTTTGTATGGACATAGTGAGGCTTTAAGCGCACAACATTTGCTTCTTACTGTACTCATGCTTGAAGAAATTCATCACGATGTTACTCGAGATCTTTCCGTTAACTTCTCTCTTGAATATTTCACTGAAGGGCCGTGCGCGACACGAAGAAAAATAGCAGCTTTCTGTAAAAATTTAGAACATTCTAATTTAAAATGCATATAGAGTTCAGGTAATTTATAAAGTATTGTTCAAATTAAATTTTATATTTTGCTCTAAATTATTAATTATACGTACATACTTTGCATATTTCCTGATAAGTATATTATATGATAAATATATATAATACGCATTTAAACATTTAACGGAAAGTAATCTTGATGGAACAAGAAAAATCGCACATACTCGTATTGATGCACTAATAAAGTAGTAACATAACTGAAACGTAATGAAGAATTACCGGTAAAAGATATATCATATTGAATATATCTAACTTTCAGAATATTTCTTGCTTAAAATTTGCTTATATCCGAATTACGTTTTGAAATGTATGTATAATAAAGACAACGGCGTATCTGCTCGTTGGTAAATAATCTAAGTTAAACATATATTTTGTTAAGATATTTCACAACAGCTTAATTACTTTCTCTCTTGATCGCAAACGATTTTTTCATGTAAACTGATTAAGTGTGGTAGGAAGAGACTTTGTGTAGTCAAAAACACAAATGCAGTTTCGTCTGATGTTAGTGAGATTGTAAAGGATCGAGTTTCCCTCTTTCCTATCGTTGACCGAGTCAACTGGTAAACCACCTTGGAAAAAGGTGCATTGAAATATGTAGAGAGAGAGAGAGATAGAGAAAGAGAAATTGTTAGTATGATTCATCACACCTGAAAATAATATTTTTGTTCTTTGTTGTTCCGATTGTTTAAAGTATTTAGTTTTTAGACAATACAAATTTTGATAGGAATATTGCAGATATGGGATCGATTGTTTTGTAAACGAATGAAATATATTTTAGAGCAATTGTAGTATAAGCATTCCGCAAGGAGGAAATTTCGTAAACTAAAGATCTCGACACGATTTCTGCTCCATAAAGCTGTAGAATAAATAAATCAGTTTTGATACCAGTGAAGAGAGGTGATGAAGCTGATGTGAAATACTGTGCGATTTTGTTAGTCTAATAACGAATTCGGCAGCTTGCACTGGTGCGCACTGAGTGCACACCAAGGCTCGTTCAGAATCTACTTTTATATTTATGGTCATCTTAAGTACATGTCCAAAAAGTATTTAGCCAAAAAAATGATCCGTGCGAAAGCTATACAGATCAGTTTACTGGCTAAGGAGTATTTCAAGAAGTATGTAAGACGATTCTTAAATATAAAAATTGACTGTAAACAAACCTTAGTGCGCACTCGGTGCGCACTAGTGCAAGCTGCGAAATTCGCTATTAAGCTAAGGAGATGCAGCTAACTGACAAATTTATATGTTACTTAATTTTTCTTGTTCATGATAGGGACAATGACTTAATGATCGAGGGTGGTCAGCTTTCCAACAACAAAGTGTGCTCAGGACACTCAAGCAACCGTTGTGCAAATAATAGTAATAATAATAACGGTAACAATAACAATAACGTGGGTGGCCCGCTGATGTCCGTCGCGCATCTGAACGGTCAAGTGAGTGGTATCAGTGCTCGCGGTATGGCGACGACGGCCGCCACTTCGTCGAACTCGATCGCCTTTAGCACGGGGGGTGCTGGCAGCGGCGGCGGTGGTGGCGGCGGTGGCGGTGGCAGTGACTCGTGCAACCCCCTGACGTCGCTGAGCACGTCAGCCGGCAATCCGTTCAACCACTTTTCGGGGAACATGGACCTGGAATTCGAGCTCTTCCCCAGTTCCACATGGGACTTGGACGGTAGCGCCGGGTGGACGGATAGGCCGGAGTCGAGAGCGAGCGGGCCACCGAATTCGCGACCACCTTCCCAGCCATCCCCGACATCACCGAGCCCGCAGGGAACCTTCTCTAACTCGACGTTAATGCCTATGGGCAGTCTTAGCCCAAGTACGGTCTGCGTCGCTCCCACCTTCAGTAATTCGTTCCCCTTCAGCCCTCTGCAGGAGACCACGCAGACGGCCACGTTGAGTAACGCTGCCAGCAGTGTCAACGCCAACGGCAGCGGCGGCGGCGCCGGCGGAAGCGGCATCAGCAGCGGTGTCGGTGCCGTCGGCAATAACACCGCCACGTCCACGGTGAAACGAACGGAGGAGAGCAACAAGAGCGGATGTCCTACTAGCAACAGCGGTGGCGGTGGTGCCATGGACAGTACGACTACGAGGACCAGCAATACTGCCGTCACCGCCGTCGAGACTCAGAACAGCAGTGTAGTGTCCACCGAGTCCGGTAGGCTCAGAAACTTATTGACGAAGGGCCCGAGCGCTAGTGAGGATAGTCAGGACAATGCGAATAACGATTCGGATAGTCAGGGCAAAAATCGGATATTGAAGATCCTGTTGAACGCGCAGGACGAAGACGACTGTCATTCGGAGCATAAAGTGCGTACGAGCCCGAGCAACATGCCAAAGCCAAGCATGGAGTACTCCAAGTCGTCGCTCGGAACCAACAACATGTTATTGCAGGTAAGTCCACCGTTTTTCATTGACCACCGGAAATGTTAGCATTTTAAAAAAGAGGCTGCACCGAGAGAAAGGTGAAAATCACCAGTTTTTTTTAAGTAAAATAATGAATTAATTTAGTATGATCAGCTCGTTGGATGTAAAAACAAATGAATCAACAATGTTTTAAATTATTAACTATTTGACTTTCATCTTTTATTCGCTCGTAACATTATTGGCCTTTGTATTGATTCATTTGAAAATAAGGAATTGTTCGCATTGTAATTCGCGGGCCTCGCGTAGCGCTGCGTCGTGCGTGAATTCGTGGATGCGTGGAGGAAGCAGGGTCGTTATGCCATGGACGCTAACGAAAGAACGCTAACAGAAAGGTTTTTTGGCTGAGATTTTCTGGTGATATTTGTAATAAACTCTTTGCAGTTTATTTTTAAGAGATGCTTATTCGGTATCGTTGTTGATAAATTGATTGCCAATTCAATTATGTGTACTATTTCAACTTGAGACTTGTTTCAAGATCGACATTTTTGGTAGTTTGCCGAGTTGAAATAAAATATATACGCACACACGAAAATATTAGGCAGTCCGACTACAAGACATATTTCTATTGTATTATTTGCATAAATGGCCAAGTTTACTTTTTATCAAATAAATTTGTTTGTGTTTAGAAACACAAAAATCGATCAGATTCTTAATTTGTAGATGTTTACGCACAGCTGAACTAGAATAAAAAGAAGAATTTTTGTGAAAATGGTGCCATGTTAAAGTTAAAAATGATTTGTTTCGCCAAAGATTTATTCAGTTTTTAGTTATAAAAATTTTTTTTCAATATTTTTTATTATTTTTGTACCAGCCAAAGAGACGACCTTTCAACACATTAAAAAAAGAGTTACTAAAATTGATCAATTAGACCGTTGTACAGCAAGAGTTTTTTTTATAATTGCATCCTCCTTAAATGGACTATGTATTTGATAGATTAAAGCTATTAAGTGTCCTTTGTTTTCCATTCATGTTATTATTCGATTGAGAGAAATTAGAAATTTTTATCAAATTTATTACCCTTACAATAAAGATACCGTTGCATACGTTTTTCTGTACGAATTGTATATTTACCGAATTTTTAATTCTCACAACTACTCCTCTTTGTTGCATTTTAAGTTATTAAACGAGAAAAATGACGACGATGACGAAGAAACACGTGCCGGGAAGAAAAGAAACGAACTTCTGCAACAGCTGATGAAAAGCGACGACGAAATAAAGTTGCCGGACCCACAGGTACATTTTATGTTGTCACTACCTAGAAGTAAAGATATGTAGCACAGAACGTAAAAGGCATAAGAAATGAGATGGAATTTCCACCTCAGATGCACGATAAGATAAGGAGTAACTCTCTATTAAAAAAAAGTAAGGGGACTATGCCCATCTTATGGGCATATAGTTCATCACACGAACGAAGATGTATATTCGACATATACTTTTTATTGATAAATAAACATACTTTTTTCAATTCCTTATGTTATCTATTGATTTTTGGATACAGTTTAAATTTTATCTCGGATTTTGATGTTCAGCATCACATTCTGTAACTATGACAACTTTTTGATAACTTTTTCCCGTGAAAGTTACGTGAAAATATAGAATATTACCGCGTTCGTAACCAATTAAAAAATAAAAAAGGAATTTTGCTGTGCAAGAGTCAAAGCTTTACGGTACAATGTAGTGGTAAATATGAGATTTTTGTGAATGAATCGTCATGAATCATCGTTTATAAGAGCGGAAATTGAAAAAAATAAGCAGATAGGGAAAGAGAGAGGATGGATTGTAGCGGAGCACGTGGCGAGAACTGAACAACGAAACGTTCGCGTTTTCTGCAATAGAGTCGAGAAGATGATCCTCTTTTGCGGAGTCTTGGATTCAACACGACGCCGTCTCCGTCGCAATCAGGCGATCACATGGCTCTCGGGAATACGATGCAGGTAGGCCAGAAGAGGCCGGGAGAGGATGGCGACTTAAACATAGCCGTGAAACGGCCTGTGGATGGCTCGCATCAGGTGTCTTCTTCGGGAGCTAGCTCCTCGAGTAATTCAACGAGCAAGCTATGGGAGAAGAACAAAATGTTGGCATCCTTACTGGCGAAACAGCCACCGCAGCCAACGAATATCCCACCGATCCCTGCTTCCGTGATATCGTCTATCCCACAGGTAGCGATCTGAATAAATTTCTTTCCATTAATTTTCTACGCTTTGTCGTGCTCTACGTGATAACGCGCGCAAGATCAATTTTCACGTATGACCCGATCTGTAGCTCCAGAACTTACTCTTAACAATAGAAATTGTTAGACTGTAGTCTAATTTACACACTGATTATTTGATACGCATATCAAATAGTGTACCTCAGCCGATCAGCCAATGACTAAATTATTTATTAGTTATTTACTATTTGATACGCGTATTAAATTCTGTGTAAGCTAGACTTATTATAGGTTCGCTTGGAAAAGGTCGTGGCTGTCATAATAGAGTGGACGGAATTTTAACCTGTTTGGTGGGTGTATCTGCCACCAGTTGTTACAAGTCGGGCATTCTCCTTCCCTTCGGCCATATCGTTGCCATCAGTTTAAGTGGAGTCATTGCCATCAGTTAAGGTGGAAATTTCGTGGAATCAAGACAGAACAGAAAATCTGCGAGACTTGAAATTATGTGGAATTTCGTGAAATCAGAAATGAATTCAAAATTAAAAACGCGGTTCTCTCCTTATAGTTCTAAAGTAAGAAATATTATTTGAATGTTTGTAATTATAATTATAATAATAATAATCGATCTTTTAATTAGGATAAGCTGCCTCGCTTAAAACAACAGCAGCAACAGCAGCAGCAGCAGCAGCAGCAACCACCTCCGCAACCGCAACAACAGCAGCAGCAGCAGCAACAACAACAGCAGCAGCAGCCTTGGACCGGTGGCAGTATGCAAGTTGGTAATAACGCGAGCACGACGACCACGCCGTCGGCGCGTCCTCTTCAAAGCCAGTCGAGACAACTACCTCGTCAATCAACCAATGCCTACCTCAGTCATATGCTAAGTCAAGTAAGTGCGACTCTATTTAATTTAATAAACATAATAAAATTATGACGGAAGTAGAGATCGATGTCGCCAGTAAATAATTAACGATATCTCGAGTGGTTCAGTCGACCCAGCTGGCATAAACTTTATTTGGGAAATATATCCACTACGTTTCGACCATACGAATTGTGGTCCTTATCAAGTGATTACATGTGCTTGAACATGTGGATTTCGCAAATTCTAAGATTGGAGTGTAATATTGAAAATCGTCGAATGCTTCCTCGATAGGACGCGTGTTACAAAGCACGTGCGTATCTGACAACGGAAAGATTTTGATGTATACTTATCCCCACCACCGCTATGGCCATGGCCATAGACACAGGGTGCTTCCGAAGAAGCGCTCGGGGCAGCTCGGGGATTAGATTTTGGTATAGTATACGTGACGTAAACTATACCTAAATCTAACTCTGAGCTGTTCCGAGTGCTTCTTCGGAAGCACCCATAGTATATCTAGACTGCTGGTTCTCTCAAATTTCAGGAGTGGGGGTAGAGCTCTCGTAGAAAAGGATGCACTCTGTTTCGTGTCTGTGCGTTCTCTCTCGCACACGCGAAAAGAGGCTCCTGAAATTTGAGAGAACCAGCAGTCTAGATATACTATGTCTATGGCTATGGCTATGTAGCAGACATTTATCATTGAATGTTTCTGAAAGCTTCGGTGCTATATGGGGTATTCTTGTGTTTTCCGAAGAGTTCTATGCGCTAGTATACTTGCATAATTTTTCAAAATTAAAGCCAGCGGCACACGATGCCTTTTTGGCCTGCTAGATTGTTTGCCCGAGTCTTTATTGGTTGGAGCCAATCAGTATGTGGCGTAATAGGTCACGTGACTTACCTAGCTTCTTTAGCTTCCCAAACTGGGGCATAAATAATTAAATTTCCGCTGTATATATTCTTGCTACCGTCTTAATATTTTTAAATGTATTTTTTTGCAGCAACAAAGGCCCCAAATGGGACCAATCGAGTCCGAGTTTCCGGGCGGTGGAGAATACCGTCAAAGCAACGATCCAACCAACTGGAACAATCAATCGTCGGATCCGGACCTCTCGGAAATTTTGGATCAAGTTATCGATTTTGTCCCGGACGAAGATGTCGCAAGTAAAGAGAAAATACTAAAGGATAATCTTTTGATTGTCTGATTTTATAGATGTGATATATTACAATTATATTTCAATATAATTGCCAATTTTTATAATGTGTTTCCTTAATAGTAGTAGTAG